CCCATGGTCCTTCTTCTAGTTCATTGTGCTTCCTGGGAATGTCCACCAGAGTGCCAAAAGGCTCTCTCCATCCACATGAAGTTATCAGCCTTAGGTACCTGGGGCTGAATTTCAAAAAAATCCATCCACTGGGAGTCATGGCAAGGAAGTCAGGTAGCCCTAGGACAGACCATTCTGTCTTGAGGCTCAGCACAGGTGTTGCCAGGTCAAGAAAGACCAAGTGGTACTTGAGCAAGCACTAGCATTCCCTTTGCTCCCTCAACAATTTTTCTGTTGAAAAGTGGATGTTGAACTGGGAAACCAGGCCCAGAAAGGCCTAAATGCAGGATGTGGCTCCAATAAGTCAGTCCAATGTTTTAATTAATGATGACATTTTACAGTAATGGAATAACATACAATGCATCTACTGATGAGAGGAGGGTCTGTGGAGATTTCAATCAAGAATGGATGCTGCATAACAAGCACTGTGCCTTCTATTTCTGCATCTATGAATCCTCAAATGAAAATACTTTCTATCCTTTGGAAAAGTATTCCATCTGTGGAATCAGCTTCTTGATAAGGCAGTAATTACTGGAGCAATTTTAGTAGGTATAAAGGCATTTTTAATAATTTCAATTATTCAAAAGCTGATTAATTATCTAGTCCATGGATCAGAGGCCAAAGGGGAATAAAACTATGAAAATGGTTACTATGACAGGGCAAAAGGAGGATTCAGCTGCCTTCAAACAGAAGGCTTCTTTCTGTGACTTTGTAGTTATGTTTGTTGTGCTTTGTACAGCTGGTGGAGACTGAGCCACTGCACTGGCACATGGAGGGAGACCTGGGTCCCAGGCCTGGCACCACCACGGACTGCTTCATCTTACAGTAATTCACTTTTGCTTATGGCTCTGTAAAAGGGGAGAAACCAGGGACACAATAGATGGTCTCTGAGTCCCTGTCAGATGCTGACATTTGTAGCTCTGGGGGCTTTTTTTTTTTATGACTGTGTTAAAATTTTTTCTTTGCAGAGTGAAAACAGGGAAAATTCACAAATATGGAAAGGCAGTGATCATATTTGGGTTTGGAAAAACAGTTGAACTGCATAGGGTGGATTAGCTTGGAGAGAGACTGGTAGAGGGTGAATGACAGGTTTGGCAGACAAGTGTGCTCCTATATGAACATCTATTTTGGAGGTGGAAAAAAGCCAACCCCATTCACTGAGCATTAACTGAGCACCTCACATGAACTTGTGGCCCTGAGTGAGGTACTGCAGAGACACAGGCTTTGCCCTCAAGGACGTTGCAAGGGGCACACTTTGCCCAGATGGGTCTATTTGGATGGTGAGGTAAGAATATCTTGAAACTAAGGCATTGCCTTGTCATATGGGCCTGGCAGGTCATGCCGGGAGCATCTGCATGAACCTTCCCTGAAGACCCAGGATGAGACCATCTCAGAGCTTGCACGAGCCCTGTGTAGCCATGATGGCTTTCCTTGTGGAGTAACTGCCTCCAACACATATCATTCCCACCTGAGACATTTTCCATCAGCATCAAGAGAGCTGACAAAGCGCTTTCAAATTTATTCTCTTGCTGGTTCCTCCAGCACCCACAGTGGGTTCCTTCATGGCTGACTCCTAGAGCAAAGCACACCATGAACCTGAAGCCCAACAACAGGTTCAAACTTCTGCTCTGCAGCCCTGGCTCTGTGACCTTGGGTAAATCACATAGCCTCACTCAGCCTGTTTTCCTATGTTTAAGAATATTGTTATAAAGATTAAAATGAAATTCCTTGCAATGGACTGAATGTTTGTACTCCCACCCCAAAATCCATACAGGGAGATGGGGCCTTCTTTGAAAGATAATCAGGTCATGGGTGTTGAGTCCTCCTAAATGAGATTAGTGTCTTTATAAGAAGAGGCCGGAGAACATGTGAGAATACAATGAGAAGTCAGCCATCTGCAACCAGAAAGAGAACCCTCACCAGAAACTGACCATGTTGACATTTGATCTCAGACTTTGTCCTTCAAAACTGTGAGAAATAAATTTCTGTTATCTATAAGCCACCCAGTGTGTGGCACTCTGGTAAAGCAGGCTGAACTGAGACTTGTCTGCATGTAGATTTGCTATAAATAATAAATAAGTTATGTTACTCTGTGCAGTTTTCTCCAATGCTATAGGATTAAGCCTCCCCATTTCTAAAAGAGATAATAATCGGCATGTATTTATTGAACAACTGTTTATTGAGCTCCTAATAAGTGTCCTATGACAGGAGCTGAATATATCCCATTAAATAAAACAAGATCAATGTTCTCATGGAGTTTGTATTCTTGTGGATGGAGATGATGGTCAAGACAGCTAAATGTGTGATATGGAAAAACACAAAGAAAATTTATGTTGTGGTGTGTGGTTTTTTAAGAGGCTATGACTGAGGAAGGCATTTCTGAGATGATAACATTTGTACAGCAGTCTGGATCAATTAAGCAAGTGATTTGGGGCAGAAAAGAGGTTCCACTAATACTGAACAGCATATACAAATGGCCTGAGGCAGGATCATGCGTGACATGTGTAAGGTACAGTATGAGACAACTGTGGATAGAAGTGCACAGGAGAGAAGTGGGTAAATATGATCTTGGGTGGAGGGAGACTGTGGCAGGAGAGGCCCTAGAGAGGATCCTGAGTGAATCTGGGAGCCGTTAGAGGGACCTGAGGGAAGAGTGACGTGATCCGACATGGACACAAATTAACTTACTGCATGGCAGAACATGGTGCGCTGTGACAGACAAAAGACCTTCAGGAAGTTAGGGAAGACTCAGAAGAACTTCAAGGATAAAAAAGCATTTGAACTGAAAGCATGTTCGATGGGAAAAAGCATTTGAAGAAGTATCTGAAATGAAAATCGTTAGCATGAGACTTGTAAGATCACTTACCACTGATCCTCTTTGAGTTGTGCCCTGTGCTAGCTGCTAAGGATACAGTGGTGACTTCACTACAAGAGATTAGACTGGCATTGATTTCCGGGAAGCCAACAGGATCTAAGGCCTGTTTGTTACTGCAGTGTAGCATAGCATAGCAAGATGGCGATCACTAGTACTGACTGAGGTGCTAGTCGAGTGGGCTTGTCTAACAGATAGTAGCCCTGACATGATGATATCCCTCAGGCAGAGACAACTCCATCAGTACGTGCTCTTCACGTTTACACAGCCATCCTCAAGGAAAGAGCAGAGCCTTTGGCCATCAAGCTAGTACCAGGCTTCTGATAATGGCTTATTGTCTCAAAAGAATTAAAAACAAACATGAAATCCATTCTGAGAGAATAAGTCGTCCCAGAGAAAAGTAATCTAACCTCAGTGCTCCTCAAGCTCTTTAAAGAATGCTGATGTTGTGCAAGGGACTTTTAAGTGTTTTACAGTAAGTAACTCATTTGCTCCTCAGAACAGTCTTTTACCTGTTCCTTCACCCTCACCGCCTGCCATATAGCTGCCAGCTCCTGCATGGCTTGGCCTGTGGACTTTCTCTTCCTGACAAAGCCCACTTGGAATGGCAAGCTGGCAGTGCCAGTGAATTAGTACCCCTTCCCCGCATATTCACCCGTGCATGTGCATACATACAGTGCACTCATAAGAGCAGCCATCAGTGAAGGACAGATGGGAGCAGCTCCTTCACTGCTCAAGTGTTTGTTTTACTGGGAGGTGCCTGTAAACAAGGGCTTCCAGATCTCCTTGGCAGGATTAAGTTCCACTTACCTACAGTGGTAACTTGCTCAGTAACTCACGGTTTATTGCTCATCCTCTTTCCTGGCTCCCTTTACTATTCATTTCCCTTCACTTTTCAAAGAACGACTTGCTCTTAAGTCTATCCTCAGGGTCTTCTCACAGGGGAATCTAGAATAAGACACTGTCCTGTGAGAGGGGAAAGAGCCATTATTATCACCTTTACTTCAAAACAGAAAACTAAATCAGAGAAAGGTTGACTAATCTGTCCGAAGTCACAGAGCATGTAAGCCCCAAATCCTGGCTTTAAACCCAGCCACCAGGCTCCAAAAGTCTGTACTACGAATGCCAACTCTTCTGCCACCAGATGGGAGAACAACCCTAACTCCAGAGCCCGAGCCATATCTCCTTGCTTTGTGAGACACATACCGGAGCGCTTATGTGGGTAATACATTCTCCCAGATTCATCTACAACCTCACCTTGGAGATTCCAGCATGTAATTCAGAAGTGTGTCTGAGAAGGTATTTGATGTGATTTTCAATGCAGTAGCAGCCACAAGGTGATCCATCAGCCAGCTATCTTTGACAGAATTGATCTCCCAGGTCAGGAAGCAAGCCTGCATTTAGGTAGGATGCACTTAGAATGTGCCCTCTTAGTAGCACACAGAAGATAAAGCACAGACAATGACAGTTCTTGTCAATGAGTTTGTTATGGCAATAGGGGAAACGCACGGCTCTCTGGTTTGATGCTGCTGCTGACACTCTGGATGTATGCCCTTTTCTTTCTTTCTTTCTTTCTTTCTTTCTTTCTTTCTTTCTTTCTTTCTTTCTTTCTTTCTTTTTGGCATGATAAACTCTTGGCCCAAGTCTTTTATCCCTACCTGTCAATTCCTTGATGTTTTCAAGTCCTCTTTTGATCCAGGTATTTTCACCCAATACCACAAAAGTAAAATGAGTACTTACTTGGTTCCCAGGCCATCAACCATTCTTTTTCTTTCAAACTGGGGCGCTCTGATTTTTCAATTTTGTTTCATGTCTGGATGAGTAATTTCAGGACCACAAGGTTAGTGAAGCTGAAGCATTCCTACTCTGGATTTCTGCCTTAGCACGAAAAGAAAAAGGCCATTGTAGCAATGGTCTATGTGATTCATCTGTGGAAGGCATCGATAAAAACACTTTTTTCTTAAGGATACTTTGAAGATCCTTCACCATGATGATAAGGAATAATCCCAGAAAGTGAGAAGAGCATGATTCAAATAATTTAATGTTGCATATTTCTTGTCACAAGATAATCTTATCCATTCGCTTGTAGGGTGAAATTTGAGTTATGAAGAAAGAGAAACTGAGGAATAGAAGATCTGATCAAAACTGCCTCTGCTGGCCTGAAGAGAAATGTTTTCAAAATACAACTTTACTTTTTTCCTATGGCAAGGTTTTGTATTCTTTCTTCATACCTCAAAGAAATTATAAGTAACACAGCTGGTTTCTTCCTGCTTGTCATACAAGCTTGTCACATTCAACCAACACATAGACCTAAGCTCAAAAGCAAGAAGGAAAGGAAGAGAGTGAAGCAGGAAGGATGAATGGAAGGAAGAGATGAAGGGAGCAAGGAAAGGAAAATAGTACACAGATGACATTTTCTCAGTGCCCAAATTATAATTACTTCATTAACCATCACAGTTAAAATGCAATGGATGGTAACTCAACGCCTCACTTAACTCACCTGTGTAAATTTACTGTGTAAATGCCTTAATTCCAGGGAATCCCCTCGTGTCCTTTCCATCGTCTCAGTCACAGAATGGTGATGACTTCTCAGCTTCTTGGTGTACTTCATTCAGCAGTGTACTCTGGGGCTTTTCTCCACGAGATACCTACGAGCTCTGAAGGGCCCAGAACACGGCCCCCATACTGCATCAGTCAAGAGGAGCTAGGTTGTGCTGTGTAGCAATGTGCAAATCTCAGTGGCTCAGAGCAACAAACACATAGGTCCAATTTATGCCATGCTCCCGTTGTGGAAATATTGGTGTCTCTGCTTCCCGCTCAGGGACCCAGCTGCAGGAGGCTCCTTCTCCGTTCTTCCATGATTGCCAAAGCAGGAAATGACGACAGGGATAATTCCGCACTGGCTCTTAAACATTCCTGCTGGACTACAATCAAAGCACATGTTGATATGCAAGCATGAAAATGTCACAGTGAAACCCATCTATTTGTATGGTTAGTACGTGTTAACAGTTAACAAAAGCTTCAAAGAAACTATTCCACTTCAAAAGATGCACACAAAGACTAACAAAAGTGTTAACAGATCCGCTTACAGATTTAATTCTAGGTAATAAACAATAAAGATATAAAATCTTTTTTTAAGAAAGAATCCTACCTGGAGGTGACACAGTCACTCTGATCACATCTTATTGGCCACAGCAAGTCCCAGGACTGTATCAGTTCAAGGAAAGAAGAAAACTCGGTCCTACGGGCCTATAAGAGGAGAAAATTTACACATTTGGTAACCGACAGTGCCATCTACATATGCCTCCTGATGTGGAAAAGCTCACTGTCTTTTAGAGATGGCAAAGGTAAAAATGTTAGCAGTTCCCCGAGAAAAGAACAAACCGAGTTCAATGGGCGGGGGATTTAGCTCAGTGGTGCCACACCTGCCTTGTAAGTGCAAGGTCCTGAGTTTGATCTCAGAAAAAACAAACAAACAAAAACACCATTATAAGTTCAAAGAAGGCAAAACTCAACAGGAAAGCTGAGCCTTGGAAAAGGAGAAGGAATTTTATAGGCAGAGATGAGAATTTGGTCATTTTAGGCACAAAGAAGAGAAGAGCAAAAGTGAGAGGCCAAGAACACATGAGTTACAGTGCAGAAAAATGAGCAATCATTCCTCAGTATCCCAGTCTAGGATCCCCAGAGGAGACAGAATCTATGCTGCTCAAGCCTCTTACATAAAATAGTGTGGTGTTTGCATGTAACCTAGGCATATCCACCCCATACTTTAAATCATCTCTAGATAACTTATGATACCTGCTACATATGTAAATAATCATTATAATGCATCTTTTAGGGGAAAAGTCTGTACATGTCAGTATAGACAAATTTTTTCAAATATTTTCCATCCACAGTTGGTTGAATCTATGGGTATGGAACCTGCAGACACAGAAGGCTAACTATAGTTGTTTTTTTGTTTGTTTGTTTTTTGTCCTAAGTAAAATGTGTATGTAAAAATGTATAAGAACTAAGAAATGGGGTGGGATAAGCTCACAGAAAAATTACAGGCCAACCTATGAAGGGTGGACACCCCTCAGTAGGTTGAGCCATTATTCATTCATTCAGTCAGTCAACAAATATGCTCAAGTACCATATTCTGCTCTGAAAAAGTAGCAGCAAAATAATGAAAATGGAAGAAAGGGTATAGCTTCCCAAAAGATTTTGAAAGAAAAACTGACCAATTTGGGGTGAATTAATGAAGAGTAAATTTATGAGGCTTGGGGGATAAAGCCAAAGGTGACTGAGAGACACACAGAGTGTATGTAGCCTCACACCCAGAGATCACAGGAAGAATGGGAGCAAGGAGGGTTGGTCTGTGGACCACAGGGGAAGATTAAGCTAAGTTTCGAGGTACTGAGGCCTGCAGGGTCTGCCCAGAGTTTCTGTGTAGGTCTTCGGATGTGTGGTGAGCTCTCTGGTGGATACTCTTGTTACTCAGCCTGATCCTCAGTGTTACCTACCTTTCCTGCAGTCTGTCACCCTGACTTCTGTGGGTGGAGCCACCCTGACCTTTGCCTCCAGCTGCCCACATCTGGGGCTAAGAAGGCTGGCTTTGGAGCCCTGGAGCTGTTTGGCCCACTTGCAGGTGTAGAAGTCCTAGTGTTTCTTTCTCCCTGCAGCAGTCTCTGTAGGGACTGACAGGTATAGGGTATAAAGGTCGGGCTTTCAGGAAAATTGCTATGCATAACTCCTGCTGCAGGGTGCCCTACAGGATCAGGCTGAAGCTTCCTCTGTAGGATTTTGACCTGGAATCACATCTTTCCTCTGCCCCCTCCCCTTCCAGGGCCATTCCACACACCATTGCTGGTTTCTCCTGGGAGCATTTTCTTAATTCATCCCTTGAAAACAGATGTCCACTTCAGGGTCTGCTTTTGGGCAACCCAACCTACACCAAGCACCTACAATGTGCCAGACCCTTTGAAGGGCACTGGGATTTGGACACTGAAAAACACAGCCTGGGTTTCCACAGAGCCCACACTGATGGTCTCAGCACAGTGTATGAAGGGGCTGTGAGAGGGAGACGCTGAGGGAGGGAGAGGCACTGTAAGGTCAAGGGCTCTTCGCCCATTGGAAGGAGGCAGTGAGTTCTGGACTGGAGATGTAGCTCAGCAGCTCCGCACCGGCCTGAAGGAGGCAGGAAGGCTTCATGGAGGAGGTGACCTTTGATCTGGCTCTTTAAGTATGAATAGGGGTTTGCTAAGGGAAAGGTAGAGAAGAACATTAAAGGTAGAGGGAACAGTAGGTCAAAGTCAACAGGCATAAAGGAGAAGGGAAATGTGGGTAGGAAGGCTCCACATCATTTGCTACTGCTGGAGCATAGGGCATAATAGACAATGGTGGACAGAGACTCTAGGAAGCCACCTAATGTGCAGGATCCAAGCACAGAAGCAGGGCTAATGCTGGTCCCTGAGGTAGTGATCCTGGAGCCATTTATAGAGGAAGGACACAGATGCTACACCCTGCACTCCTAGCCCAAGGTGGTCTCCTGCGGCAGCTCTTGGTACACCCAGGCCTCAACAGCCCTCACCTAATGCCAATATAATTGGCTCCTGGGAATAAAGGAGGACTGAGCAGGAACTACGCTCTGGGAAACATTTCAGTTTCCATTCCCCCAGAAGCAAACTTGAAATAAGGATCTGCACACCTGAATTTACTTGAGAGGAACAAGAAAATTCCAGTAGAAGAGTGGGGAAGTGAGGTGGGGAAGGAAGGCAGCCTATGCAGGGAGTGTCAATCACCACGCAAGTTATGGCTAGGGGCGATGGAAGCTTAATCCCAAGGGTAATGGTGTCATATATAAATACACACCTCAAGGACAAGGTAGCCAGGCTGTGACTGTCACCCAGCCTCATCAGTCATTGTCTGAAGCTGCTCCCTAGCACTGAGAATTCCCTAGAAAGCAGGTGTGGACAGTGGAAGCCAAGCCACCATGCCCTGAAGCCTTCGGTGTGGGGGTGTTGGATGAGCAATCACTGTGTTCCAGGCTCTGGGTTTCTTTGCAGCTGCAGGGGAGGAAAGTCTATAAGGGCCTCTCTCTCCTTCATGTGAAGGTTGGAAGAAGAATCAGAAAGAAAATCACCTATCCAAAGGAGAGGTCTTTATTCATCCAAAAGCCATTCAAGCTTCATTGTCCCTAACCTATGTGGGGCCTGTGGATCTGCCAATTGGCACAGATTCATTTCCTCACTCCATAAAGCAAGTGGCCGAAAGAGAAAGCTAGCTCATAATAGCCCTTCCAAAGCTGAAACATAATCTGACTTTGGGTTCATAAAGAATGCCTGGTTCTTTCCACCAGTGTAGAGTTGCTTTAAATACACAATGTTCTACTGAAGCAGAGAAGGGACACATTTTCGAATACCACAGCCATGCGGCAAGAGAGAGTTGTTTTTCTAGTCCAGTGACTTACAAACTGCTCCAGGCCTAGGAGCCTTGCAGAGGTGTGTGAGACAGGTAACAAAGTGAGAGGGAGGATTCCTGCTTTTCTGATTTGGGGCCCCCAAGAAGGTGACCCAGAGACAAAAAGTGAAGTGCAGACCTTGCATTTGGGAGGTGATCCCAGGAATCACAAGTAGGGCAGTAAGAAAAGGAAGGGAAGGAAGGTAGCTAGTCAAAGTATGTTATCAGTGGATTGGCCACTGTGGGCCAGAGACCTCTCAGGGAACTTGGCAGCAGCCTGGATCACACGCCACAAGGACATCTGACCTGAGGGGAAGGGCTGGCATATGACTACCCCAACTTCCATCTGATATTGGTTGAGGTTAGCTTGTGGGGAATTAACTCCCCAGCAAAATAGCCTCTGGGGTTCAGTGGAATTAACCGGAAGAAACACCAATAGAGTGGAATTCCAGCCTCTATTCTCACTGCTCTCAGAAGTGAGGCCCAAGTCTTACCTGTTTTACACATCTGTGTGTAGTGTTACAAGCGCTATCTATAACAGATATGCTAAGAAAAAGTAAGATTGTTTTAAAGCCTCTGGACTGACCCAATGCCCTTATCTTACAAATGATGACACAGGAGGTCCAGGAAAGGGAGGCTGCGGCTGTGTGTAGCAGTGTGGACGCCCAGACTGACGGTAACTGAGCCTCAGACCTGGGCTCCTCAAGCACTGCACTCATTTCAGCCAAAGCCAGTCTTTGCTGCTATTTCATCTTCCCCAATTGCATTTCTTCGCATTACCTTCGCTCTCCACGTAGGCCCCCCGACCTTAGTAGAATGCTTCCCAGCATCAACCGCTCTACGATCTCTGCTAGTCATATATGCCATTCTCTCCTCATCTTTATCCAGCTCCTTTGACAAAACCTTTTATACATGTGCAAACAGTGACCAAAAGTATGAAAACCAGAGGATTGATGTTGGCACACCACTTTGGAATGAAATGTAAATACTGTACTTCGCTGGGGCAACATGCTGGACTGATTAAACAGCTTCTGCAAACTCAATATCAAGGGTCTGATTCTAACACAGCTGCCTATTGTCATTCGTGTTTGAAGATGATTCAAAAGGCACCAGACTTCTTTATACACTAACACGGATGTCTTAATTTACAAAGGGCATTGTGGATGCTATTAATCTCTGCATCCTCAGAACCTGGCACTCTTTTTAGCATAGAATAAGTGCTCAATAAGTGATTGATTAATGAATGAAGAAAAAACCATGAACTCCTGACTCCATGCCTCACCCTCAAACTGAAGTTAAAACGCCAGCAGCAAGAATGTTTATGTATATACTGAGATTCGCTGAGATTCGCTGGTATTCTACAAAAGTTGATCATGACTTCTTTTGTCAAATATTTTTCTTAAACTATATTGACAAACATTAAAATTATTCACTCATTAAATATTTATTAAATGCTGTGTGTTGGGTACTGAGATATGAGGGTGGGAAAAAGGAAAAAAAAAGTCTTTTTGTTTTGCATCCCACATAAATACAAATCCATTAATAATATAAGGGAAAGGTCAAATTAAAACGGAGTGAAATTACTCTAGCAGTTTTAAAAGAGATGTCAACAAAGTCTTTAATATTCCTCCATTCAAGAGGAACCATAATTCCTCTGAGCATAGGCTGGACGTGGTGACTCATTTCTAGGAAAAAGAAGGGATGGGATGTCATTTCTAATACAGTGGTGTCTTCATTCACGAGCTTAATTTGTTCTACGATTTTGGGAAAGACGGCCACATTTCTGTTTGTGTGGGAAACATGACCACAGCCACCTTTCCCACCCAATACAGTTTGAAAGAATAAATGAAATTTTGCCAAACATTTCTGTTTGTGGACCAAACTATTTTTAAACAAAACCTTCTGTGAACCACAAAACTCTGACAAAGTTCAAAGCCCTTGTCTAGGAGGGAAATGGTTGACTGGCTGGTCCAGTGATGTCCTATGAAACCAGAAAAAAAATCATCACACTTAAAAGCAACAGTGGGATCCCCAGGAAGCCAAGAAAAAACCATCATACAGTTGTACTGGCACATAAGATTGAATTAGTTTCCCTTCAGAGCAACCCAAACTCAGAACTTGCAACCCACCAGAGTGCAGGAAGGAATCAAAGGGCCAAAATCAGCCTCAACATCATTAGCTAAAGTTTCTCAAAAATTCCCCAGAGAGAACCCTAAAAGTTCAGATGAGCAGGTCCCCTGTGTTACTAAGGTCTTTGAGTTCAAACTGTTCAAATCCAAATCCCATTTTGCCCCATTTATAAACTGTGTGTTATGAGCAAGCTGCATGACATCTCTGAGATTGTTTCTTATCTATAAAACGGGGATGATAATTATAGACCCCAGTATAGGGTCTTGATCAGTACAGGTTCAACTGGGTTAATTCACATAAACTACTTAAAACTTTGCCAGCCTCAGAGAAAGCATCAAAAATTGTTAATGATTAATAATGGTTATTTATGTATCAAAAAAGAATGAGCAGGGTTTTTAACTTTTCTTTTTTTGTACTGGGGATCAAACTCAGGTCCTTGCACTTGAGAGGCAGGCAGTGGAACCACTGAGCTAAATCCCCCACCCAAAATTTTGGTCACTTTTCTTTGGGGGCAGTGTTTTGTAATGTGAAACTCCCTAAATAAACTTCTCCTTCAGTCCTGAAAACATCCTTCAAATAGCATAAATCCTATTGTGCTGAAGCATCTGGCCACGAGCTTCTTGGGAGAAAGACGGGTGTCATTTTTATCTTTGCTCAGTAAGATGGGCACATTGTTGGTGTGATAAATATTTGATCAGTGATGCTACCACTGGCAAAAACTTCACAAGAAAGGTTGCTATGAAAGCAAGAACTCTGCCTGGCCCAGCTCATTCCCTCTGTCTCTATAGCCCATGGCAGGTGGGACTGCAGATTGCAAAGTTCCAATCAGTGCATCTCTGAGCCTTGGATTTCCAGTGATGTAGGGGAGAAGGGTGATGGTACAGAAAATCTCTGGCTGCTTTTTTCTTTCTTCTCTCCGCACCAATCACTGTAATAAACGTTTCATAGGCATTAACTCATTGAATCACTGAACAAGTTTATGTTTTAATTATTTCCCTTGTACCGAGGAGGAAACTGAGATCCAGCTACCTTCTCCGGCACCTGCAGTTGATAGATGCTCTTAATCTCAGGAATGAGTTGTATCCAACAGGGAGGACACTCTCTTGCCAGTGAGGGCTGAGGTCCTTGAGATTTCAGGAAATATCTGTGGGTAGATGCTGAAGCCAGAACTCAGGAAGGGGAGGCCCTCTTTACCAGCCACCCTTCAGCTCACATCCAGAGCTCGTGTTCTCCAAAGCTGGGCACAAACCAAGAAAGGATGCGAGACACCTGTGGGTGTGACAGGGATGCTGCAGAGCCAGGCAGGAGCTAACACTACAAGAATACAATAGTAAACAGCATTTACAATGTCGGGCTTTGTGTTAAGTCTGTTTTGGTTGGGTTTCCCCAAACCAGTGGCTGGAACAAAGATTTGGGTTTGGGTAATTTCTTTGGGAGGTGATTTCATGATGCACAGGGATAGAGTGAACAAATGAGACAGGGAACACTTTGGAAGACTCTATGTTAACACTTGAGAATTATTCCACTGAGGGTGAGGAAACTAGGGTCATTATCCATCAATACCCATCTCCCATTGGTTGAGAGTCACTCCTAGAACTTTAACTCCCTGGCACTCCTAAGCTCCCTCATGAGAGCTGAGCACCCTCTTGCCACTTGAGGAATACTTGGGCAGAGAAAATTGCAGGCACTTGCAAGAAAGAGGCCATGGCATGTTCAGGATAACTGAACAAACCTGCAGGTGACAGAGTGACAAGGAGTATTAGAAGGGCCCTGCCATATCTGTTTCAATTCCTTCCATGATTATCTTGCCAACCCAAAGAGTTAGAGACCTTTATTGTGTCCACTTCATGGTAGAGAAACTGAGACTGAGTCTCAACAAAATTAAGAATCTGACCAAGGCCACAGAGCATGGAGTAGAATCCAAGCAGCCAGATGCAGAGAGTGTGGTCTAAGGTATCAGGCTGCTCGGCCTCCTTCCCTGAGGATTCCTGGTCAGCGTTCTTGACTCTACCAAGCAGGAAGCAGTCATATTAAGTCCATGGCATCCCAGCCTCCTTTATTTATGCATTTTGATTATACACATTTAGAATATATGATGTGGTGTTTGGATATACATAATGCAATAACTACTCTAGAGAAGTAAATTAACATATCCATTAGCTCACGTGGCTACCCTTTCTGTGTGTGTGCCAAGAAGACCTAAAATCTGTTTTGGCAAATATCCCAACTACAATGCAGTATTAACTACAGTCCTGAGACTTGTGCATCCCATCTGGCCATAGCATGGTATCCTTTGACCCTCACCTCCCCAGTTCTTTCTCTTTGTGTCCCTGGTAACTGCCATTTTATTCTCCATCTCTGTGTGTTTGACTTCCTTTCACCCTAAATCCTGCATATTATCCACATACCTCTCAGCCTATAGATCAACAGTTTGGAGTAAGGAACAAAGCTTGGCCTTTAGTTACCCTGGAGTGGAAAGATAAACAGGCAGCAAATGATTTCTCTGTGTTGACCACTACCAACTCCATCTTGTGTTGTAAAAGGCCTCTTATTGTTAGTGGGTAAAAGCCCCTCCAGGTCATAAGTTGCCCTTGTGTGTTCCACAATGGGACAAGGTTACCTTAGCTCCTTTCTAGCAAGATGGGTCTTGCAGGAACAGCAGAGTCCTGCAGCACAGCATAGCCATCCTTCAATCCAGCTATCTCCTGGACGCATTCAGCCATGCACCTGGGAACATGTCAGCCACATCATATGGACACTTACTTTTCATTTTTACCTCCTCTCATATTGGGTGCATCACAAGGAGCCTACGAAACAGACAGGGAAGGAATCATATCACAGTTCTCAGGTAAGGAAATGGAGGCTCAAGAATGTCTTTCTCAAGACCACAGACCTAGTGAGCAAAGGAGAACTGATTGGAATGTAGGTCTTTGGGTCCACATGAGGTTTCATAACCACAGTATCCGCTGTGCATGCCCAGATTGGTGCTTGCAGCCTGTGACAGATACACACAGCATGGCAATGAGTCCTGAGGCAAATTTGGAACCTTTGTTCCTCCATCTATTGGTGGAACTCATAAGCTGGCCAAGCCTACCGTTCATGCCTGGTAGAATCTCTCAGCAGCCAGTTGAGTTAATGCTCTTACTTCTAGAAGTTCCACCCCCAATTCTACCATATTTTTCTATTGGTTCCCTTCCCAGAACTTTCTCCAGTAGGTATTCATCCTCTAAACTGGGATGTGCATTAATTTTCTAACCCCTCTAGAATGCAATTCATGGTTGCAGGGAGCTCAACTCTACATCAGTCTTACCAAGCCCAACAGCCACAAGGGTGGAGCAGAAGGAAAAGTTAAAGCAATTAAAGCCCATAATTGCGAGAGTGGTCCATGTGGAAAACTGAGGAGGGAATGCTGGCAGCCTCTGGGAGAAAAGGCCAAGGCCAGCTGGCAGCCAGCAAAGAAACAGGGAAATCAGTCCTACAGCTGCAAGGGGCTGAGCTCCACCAACAGCCTGAGTGACCTGGGAAATGGATTCATGCTGAGAGCCTCCGGAAAGGTACACAGCCCCCCAGTACCTTTATTTCAGCATGTAGAACTCTTAGCAGAGGACCAGTTTGGCCACGCTGTTCCCAGACTTCTGACCCACAGAACTATGACATAAATGTGTATCATTTTAGAATGCTAAATGTATGGGACTTGGTTATCGCGGTAATAAAACCAATACAGAAAATTGTTAGAAGTACCTGGCACATACTAGCTACATACTAAATGTCTGAATAAATGGAGGAATATATGGAAATAGACTTTTCAGGCTTAACTAAGATTTTTTGTGCTTCTGGTTTACATTTCTTACGTTAGTCAGTTTTTGCTGCATAACAAACAACCACAAGTACCAAGGCAAACAGCAACAGCATTTTTTTCTCACTCACTTATTTGCAGTGTCGGCTGGGGCCAACTGGGTTTAGGCTGGATTCAGACAGGCTTAGCCTCCAGCTTAAGTGGATCCAAATCCACTTTAAATGTTTCTCATCCCACTTGACCAGATGCTGAAACATAATCTTCTCAGGGAGAAGGACAGGAGCTCAGAAAGGAAACCAAAACAGTGCAAGCACATCTCTAGTCTCTGTTTATGTCGACCCCAAGAACATCCCACCAACCAAAGCAAATTACACAGGCATGGCCAGGACCAAGGTGACAAGAAACCGCCCACTTCCCAAGCAGCCATACAGAAAGCAAGAGTCATGGTCTTGCTGCTGGGGTGGACTGTATCCACAGTGTTGGTGTATTAAAGAGGTGAGAAGGACAGGAGCTTCTCCCCTCAGCAGATGCAAATGTGTTTCTCCAAGAATTTTTGTTGTAACCAAGGAGTCATTTGGGAGGCACAATTATATCATGAAGCAATAATGTCTTGAATCCTTTTTCCGGTACTGTGTGATGTTGGTAACTATCCTCACCTCTCCAAACTTCAGCTTTATCATCTGTCAAATGAAAATAGTGATGCTATTTCCTTCTCAGGACTACTGTGGACAGAAAATGAAATCATGGGAATGGAGCTCTCAGCGCTGTGCCTAGGACACGGTAAGCACTCAGAAATGTGTTCTTTTGTCACCCCTCTCAGTGTTCCTTGCCTGATATGCTCCTAACCACATCATAGATGTTCTGCCCAGGTGAGCCTTCCTTGAGCCTTGAGATTATGTTTGTGGACACAGATTCGGCAAGACCATAATTGACAGTAACCCACAGAGAGAGAGAGAGAGAGAGAGAGAGAGAGAGAGAGAGAGAGAGAGAGAGAGAGAGGCTGTACACAGCACTTCCCTCCAACCTTAGGGACTCTTGACAATGATTACAAATGATTTTGATGGGAGGGGTGGGGGAAGGGTAAAAAGGGAAGAGAAAAAGTAAGAGAAAAAGAAAAAATGGAACCAAAGTCTTGGTAAATAGGGAATGGTGGAGGGGGGAAGGGAGACAAAGGGAATGGGGGGAACAAGTGATTTTGAAGAATTCACTGAAACATGTTATAATCCTTGATTACAAAGAAAAATGATTTTCCTAGAGCGGATCTTCCATCTGCTGGAGGTAGCCAGGCCCCACTGACAAATAAGATAAGCAGGGCTGCAGAGAAACTCCTAGACAAAGCACAGGCCCCTCCCCAGGAAGCCTGACTGACAAGGCCCAGCAGCCAACCCCAGCACACCTAGGCCTGGCTCTGACTGCTGCAGCCCAAAGAGCAGGCTTGGATATGAACAAAAATGGCACCATTTTATTTATAAACATTTTCCACTATGGCCATAATACCCCCTTTCTTTCCCCAGTTTGAGATATAAACATCTCAAAATAGGATTTTTTTCCTATTAAGTTTATTGGCACATTTAAAGCAAACAATACAGTTATGTTTATCATTAAGATCTTGTACTTTTAAACGATACAGCTTGGTTCTTATTTTTCCCCATAACCCTGGCCTCCCTTCACCCCCTTCACCCTTCCCTATCAAAATAGGATTCTTTTTGGGCTGAGGATTTAGCTCAGCGGTTTGGTGGCCTGCCTTGCAAGCGCAAAGACCCGAGTTCAATCCCTGGTACCGAAAAAAAAAAAAAAAAAAAGGATTCTTTTAAAAGGGCCTTGGGATACAACAGTTCTGCTGGAGAGAGTACTGCTGGGCCGCTCATGCTGAGAGCAGGCTGGACTGCTGCCTGCTTGCCTACTTTGCAAGAGCACTCAGTCTGCAGGTGCTCCAGGCAGAGAAAAGAATTTAGCCTGTCGGGACCGGGAAGTCCAGAGCGCAGTGAGAAACCCTTGAAAGGACGTGCCACTCCAGGGTTACATGGCTAGTCTTAAGATTGGCAATATTGGTACCTGCAGTCACTTGGCCCATGATAGTGATTCACGTTTACAGGATATCACAGTTCCAAAGCCCTGGTCACTGGCTATAACATCTTCAATCCCAGGAATTTCAGTTAGTTCGTAGAATTCTTCAGATGAGAAAACTTAGTCCCTGGAGTACTAAACACCTTAGTCACCATCCCAGAAGAACTGGGAGGGGTCAAATTTGAAGCCAGGCACTCTGACAACAAGTCCCATAGTCTCTCTGTTCCTCACCCATTCCTCCCCAGTAATTCCCCAGTAGAAAGTGGTGCCTGATCATGGGCTCAGGAAAGTGTCTGAGTTCTGTGTCTGTTATCATCTCAGAAATCCCTGCCTCGCTCTTGGCTTGCATTTCTGTGTGTGTGTGTGTGTGTGTGTGTGTGTGTGTGTGTGTGTGTGTGTGTAATTTGAGCTCCCCCAGAAATAGAACTTTGAGCTTCCCTCAGAAAAAGACCTTGAATCAAGGATTCAAGTACAAATGGTTTATTTGGGAAGTGAAGAAAATGCCAATAGGAAAGTGAGGAAGATAAACTATGCATTAGTTATTCATTGCTTTTTGATACATTTCCCCCAAATTTAGCAGTTTAAAATAGCATACATGTAGTATCTCCTAGTCTCTGTGGATCACAAGTGCAGGTACAACATAGCTGGGTACCTCTGGCTTATCGAATCTCATCTCAGAAGACTGCAATTAACTGTCAGCCTGGGCAATCGTCTCATTGAAAGATTCAGCTGGAGAATTCGCTTATAGGCCCCCTTTGTGGTTGTTGACAGGATTCAGTTCCTCACTGGCTGTTGGCAAAAGGCTCTCCTTTCTTGCTAGATGGGCCCTGGGTCCCCTCCATAAGCAGCTCACAACATGGCAACTCCTTTGAAGGAGTGAAAGAGAAAGAAAGAGACAATATACCCAAGATGGAAACTCCTTTTATAACCAAACACTTTATAACTCTTTTTACAACACTCCTTTTTATAACCAAATCTTAGAAGTGATATCCATGGCTTCTGCTATATTTTATTCATTACAAGTGAGTCAATGAGTCCAACTCCCAAGGGGAAGGGATGGAAAAAGAACTAGGATGTGTTACGTACTTGTAGCAACTCCCCACGAAGAATGTAATCATTACATACTACAAACGTGTACTAATAAAAAAAACTAAGGTTAAAAAAAGTTCAGCTCTCACTTAAGGGTGAGGATGAGTATCAATAGCAGAAGGTGGAGATAAGTGAAAACATCCCAGAGTCAAAGAGATGAAAAGGTATCCCCAGAATTTTTCCCTACCTTGTGAGTGTACTTGGAGAAGGAGCTCAAAGAAAGGGATCCAATTACTAGGAAGTGTGATTAGGTATTGATTGCCATCATTATTACCCCAGCTCTGTCTTTCCAAGGGGAGTGCAAACTGGCTGTGTCCTTCTACTCAGGGTTGCAACCCCCATCTGGCAGTTCCCCATATTTCTCCCCTCTTTGTGAAGTTAAGCCTTGCTGTCCTTCGTGGCACCCTATCACCAAAGAGTCTATTATCAAGCCACCCTACCACCTGGATTTAAGCTTCACTGGGAACCAGTATAGAACACATGCTGGAATCATTCTCTTTGTGAAGAGAAGGCACTCCCCTCACTTACTGATTTGGGGAATGCGATTTATAGCCAAGTCCAGTTGAATCCAGACCAAGTGAGCTGAACCTTTCTCCAAGTTCCAGGAACTGCTTCCTCTCCTTGTTCATTCAGGCCTGGTGTGGGAAGGACTTCCCCATTGCCAGCTACCAGATGCTGTACCGGCTCTTGCTAGTTTCCCTTAAGGGTCTGTGACAATTAACCAATGGTGTCAACTTGAGTAAGAAATGCCCAGTGAAATGAGTCAATCTTGTAAATTCCTACACTTCTGTGCATCTTGCAATAAATCTATTTCTCTAGGGAGCACCAAGTGATACACTGTCCCATCCTTGTAAACAGTTCCTTTACTGAACTCTCCTAAGTCACACATCCTTCGTGGAAGACTAAGACAACAACAGCTCCCTAGATCTGTAACATATTTCACAGAGTCACTCTGGTCACACAGCAAAGATTCATCAAAGTTTTGTTGTTGTTCGCTACCTTCTATCTTTTCTCTTCACCTCAGAAACTTAGACTTCGAAGACGCAGTTCTGAAGCCTCAGCCCTCACTCTTCTTCCAGTTACAAAGAGAGCCGGCTGTGTTTTTCACTCTGCCTTTACTATACTCCCAAAATTCTGAATCTTGCAATCTTATTTTATGTGTGTTGTACAGAGGTTTTTCATTTATAATTTTTAAAAAGGTAGGAACACTATAACATCCTCATTGCTTAAGACAATGGCCAAGGTACATCTTAATTTCCCGCAGAATTAAACTAAACATAATTATAGCTTAATGAACTGTGCAAGTCACAAATAAAAAGTTAAATTATGGCCACTAACTTGGGTCAAAGTTCAGAAGTTAAGCGGTTACTTGTCAACCAGTGCCTTGGACAAAGCAAACAAATTTTACTTTTCATATCGCTCAGATCTCAAATAATTATCTACTGGTGCATGGAAAAAGTCTCATTACAACCACATCACCATGGTCCCAAACAGACATGATATTAAAAATATTAAATAGCAAATAGGCCTGGGCAGGAGCAATCAAAACAGAGCCTTGGAGGTTTGCTGCAGCAGGGAATTCCAGCTGAACACCAAACTCAGGTCTGCATCGTATGTGTCCTGCTGTCCCCGGAAGCCCCTCATGAACTTTCTTGCTGCTGGGCAATCTCTCTTCTCTGCGGGAAAACAATCTGTTAGCATCTTTGTGAAACACTTCATGAACTATAGGGAATTGTTTCCATGGTTAAAAAGTAGCCTCCTGTTTCCTTCTTAGTTATCAGCAAGCTTGTGCTACTTAACCCAACATGATTTATTCTGCAGCTAGAATGTCAAAAGGGTTAAGGTTAATAATTCATTGGCAAAGCTGTCTGAAACCACAATCCTTGTATTTGCTACAGTTCTAATGAAATGGCCAAGCTTCCATCTCTCTTCCCTGACTATCCCTTCCCTCCCCCGCCCCTCCCCAGAGTGTGGCTTTGCTGTGTGTTTCTTGTGAATGAAACTTTGGATCTCTAGGCCCAGGGCCAAAGGCATGGGCTTACTCCCAGGGGCTGGCCAGGCCTTTACAGAGAGATAACTGAGGGCACATTTCCCCAGTCTCAGTGCAGAGTCAAAGGCTTTTGTGCTCTCATGATCTATCTTAAAAGGCCAAGTATAATTTGTATTCTACTTAGCAAACCTTTATATGGTCCTTAGTATATGCTCCAAGTGCATTTCAAATTTAACCCATTTAATCTTTTATACCTTCATGAGCAGATCCTACTGTTATCCCCAGTTTGTAGGACAGGGAACTCTCTCAGAAACACACAGCTAATATGTAAAAGAGCTAGAATATGAGCCTGCTCTAGTTTCAGGGTCTGTGCTTTCTTGATTATTACACTGTGCTCTTAAGTATTAGTTTTTATAATTTAGGTGATTATGCATGGTTACTTACATGTGAAGCAGTGCCTAATTTATGGATGTAGGAGGCATCAACATTAAATGAGCACCTACAGTATACCAGGATTTTCCCAAGGACTGCAATATGACATCATATCACCTGCCAACAAGCTTAGGAGACAGACTGTCACCTCCAGTTTACAAATGAATTAATAGAGGACAAAAGCAAAAAGAGACCAGAATAG